TTGGTGGGCTATAGGGCATGCGTTTTGATCAAAAATTGGTCATTTTGAGTGATTTTGATATGCTATAGGTCATGAATTTTGATCAAAAATGGTTCATTTTGAGCGATTTTGGTGGGTTATAGCCCATGCATTTTTGTCAAAAAGTGGTCATTTTGCTTGATTCTGGTGGGCTGTAGCCCATGCTTTTTGATCAAAAAGAGGTCATTTTGAGCGATTTTGGTGGGCTTTTGCTTTTGCTTTTTTGGTCAAAAAAGGGTCAGTTTGACGGATTTTGGTGGGCTATAGCCCATGCATTTTGCTCAAAAATAGGTAATTTTGACTGATTTTGGTTTGCTATAGTCCATGCATTTTAATCAAAAATAGGCAATTTTGACTGATTTTGGTGGGTTATAGCCCATGCATTTTGATCAAAAATAGGTAATTTTGACGGATTTTGGTGGGCTATAGCCCATGCATTTTGGTCAAAAAAGGTCATTTTGAGTGATTTGGGTGGGTTAAAGTCCATGCATTTTGACCGAAAAAGGGTCATTTTGAGCGATTTTGGTGGGCTATAGCTCATGCTTTTTTGGTCAAAAAAGGGTCAGTTTGACGGATTTTGTTGGGCTATAGCCCATGTATTTTGGCCAAAAAAGGGTCAGTTTGACGGATTTTGGTGGGCTATAGCCCATGCATTTTGATCAAAAATGGGAGATTTTGAGCTATTTTAGTAGGCTATAGCCCAAGCCTTTTGATCAAAAAAGAGTAATGTTGAGTTATTTTGGTGGCATTTTGATAAAAAAATAGGTCGGTTTGAGTGGTTTTGATTTTTGCTATAGCAATCGTGATTTTCAGTGCTTTTGGTTTGCTATAGCCCATGCATTTCTTAAAAAATCAAATGAGTATATCCAGTATTTTAGTTTTGTTTTATTTTCAGACATGGCGAAACCCTCAAAGCGATTGTTCGCGGTTCTCTCCCTTTTTGTTCTTCTGCAGCAGTTTTCACCAGCCTTCACTGCCGACTTGTCAAGGCATAGAATCAYTCACTCCAAGGAGAAGAGAACGGATCAAGCGAAAGACAGCTCAAACGATAAAGGTAAAAATCATTCTAAAATKATTCTACTAAATTGTTATTGGAAAAATTATTTGCAATATATTTTCTATTTGCAATATATGTTAAAAATTGCATTTCTAAGATCGGTCCATCTTACTGTCGGTTCTCTTCTTCTACTTTCAGAAATACAAGAAAACAGCGAAAAGCGATCAGCCCGGAATAAAGTTCTTGGGACAGCTCTAAGACAACTTTGGAAGCTTCTGGGGAAAGATTCCATCATCAAAAAGATCAAATTTGTTGCACAGGTCACTTCAACGATAACCACAGCTACAAACCTCGGCCTTACTATTACCAGAGCCATAGGGGGATGTGGTGCTATTGCTCCAGAACTCACTGAGAATTGGGCAAAATATCAGAAATTAGATGAGGAATTCTGGCCAATAAGCAGACAAATTGACGAAATCAATCTTCAAGGTAACTTTCACAACACTTTCAAGTGCTTGTATCTAGTGCTTAATGGTAAGCTACACCCCAGTTAAGTTCTACAGTGTCTTTGTAGACCCTTTGCAAGCTCCCTCTAATACAGCAAAAGCAAAAGKTGTTAATATTTGTGTTTTTCTAAGCCGAAAGTCGACAAATCTACATCAACACAAGCTTCTACGAGTACAGAAGAACCAGGGACAAACTTCAAAATATTGCAGATGAAAAGGAAAGAATATTCAATTCACTTGGTTCTGAAGTGTTAAGTAGTGCCAGAAATTCTTCTGACAAAATAGAGGTAAGACAACGTACCCATGCAGCATATTTTATGGTACAGCTGTTTCAGAAAACGTTGCTTACTGAATACTATAACACTGTATTGTGCATTCAAAGACCGCCATGTTTGGTGCGTTATGAAATGATTATCCCAAACTTAACTTTCCATTCTTTCTTTGCTTCTGTCTTGGCTGCACAGAGCTGAAACAACGGAAACTCTTTTTGAACGGCGATAGATTGACCAATAATGCATTTCGGTCTTGGAAAACGCCAGGGGCTGATTTAGGGGGGAAAATTGGCATGCCCTCTGACCCCCCTAATTCCGCCTACCTTCCGCATTCAATATATACAGTAGTTAACGGTCAACCCTCCAGTAAGTTGTTGCTTGATCGGACCCTGCACTATGCAACAACAATCATTATCCAATAACTATGTCTATAATTGTTTTCACAGCAACTCGCCATGGAAAAAAACCGAACTGGTGAAGAAATCAAAGACACTGAGATTTATCTGGGATATAAGGAAGGTCTRGACCTGGCCTTGGACTTGGCGAAACCTTCTCTAAGTTTGATCATTAAGGGAATCAAATTATTTTGGAATTCTTATCTTAGGGATACAGTCATCGGCAAGAAAATCACGAAGGTGATTGGTTTTTTTGACTAGTACCTCGGGAGCTGACATTTTACACAAGGAATGCGGGATAATCCTTTTAAGGACAATTAAAATACTTTGGCATGCACAATGCATGTTAATGAATAATTTATTAAAAATTAATGAGTCATCCAATCAGTGTTGTCGACCAAGTCATGTGATTGATCATGTCAATCCCGATACGATGATGTTTTATTCTAACTTTTCTTATTTCTTGCATGAGCTTCTTTTATCAGGTGTAAAACCTGATTGTTTAGTAATTTGGAGCCGCAGATCCGAAGTCCATACCCTTGTATTATAGTAATCCCACATAAGCCTATAGCTTCATCATCACCAATTATCATTATATTTTAGTTATCAGAGACCATTAAGAACAAAATCACCAGTATTCTGAGCAGTGATCCTAACAAGCCAAGTCTGGGGCAAAGAATCAAGGCCAGTAGAATAATGAACACTAGATTTGGAAAAGGTCTACAGGCAATAGGAAGCTCGATTAAGTCTAAGTTAGTCAGGTCAGCCACGCGCTTCAAGAGTATTACTAAAAGACTTGTTCCTTTAGCGAAGTTGGCAGGGGCGGGTGAGTATACTTGTGTGTTTATCCCCCCCCGGGATGTTTACATAGTACTCTCCCTCAGAAAACAAAACGACTTGTTAATTAATAAGTGCCAATGCGCATGTCAGATCTTTGTCGTGGTTTTTTGATCGTGATTGGTTGTTGGCAATGTTTGAACTATTTAGGCGAGCCCTTGAGAATCCATATTTGTTTTCCATCAACGCCTGAGAAGATYCATGGAAATGGATGAAAGGAAACGAAGAAGATAAAAACGAAGAATTCTTCCAAGAGTTCTGAAATGGGACAAAAAGGAGTTCTATTCTCTATACATCTAAGACCCTGTTTACATGGGATAAGGTTCACCTAGTTAATAGAGACAAACTCTTTGTTATATTCTCCATGGAAAAGAAAACAAGAGTTTTTCTCTTTTACCTAATGMCACCCTATCCCATGGAAACAGAACCTAACATCAGTGTCCTCTATTTGTCAAGTTTTAWTATGATGTTGACCACTTATCCAACAATTTTTTTTTTAGTTTTTGACTTTGTCGTTATTGTGTTGATGTTCCTCTGTACTTCTGTTCCTACCTTGTAGCATACGGTATATGGAAGGTGTTCTCTCAAATCAAGGAATGCACAGACATGGCCGAGAAGTCGAGGGAGAGTGTAGAGAAGATGACTGAAATGTTAGARAAAACAAAAAAAATTTTAGCCGACGTGAAAGCTTCTAATGATGAAATACAATCGGTAAATTGAGACGAATTTTCTTTAACTCAGAATTCTTCAAGAATACTAAAGTACCACTCACTCTACAGGCATTCGATGAAATAAATGYCTTTACTTTTGACGAAACATTGTTGGATGCTATAAGCCAACTGAAAGACATGATGAGCGATTCCACCATTGTACTTGAAACGGACGATAGTCGAACAGTTGTCGCGGAATTGAGGGTAAGTAGTATGCATTGCCCAATTTCTTCCCGCCCCCTCCTCCCTCCTGTATCACAAGATCCCCCCCCCATACACATCCTTCCCTCTGCAAGATCTAATGACCACGACGCCTAAAGCTCGGTGAAATAGTGAAATTATCACCATCAATTGTGCTCGACCACAGTATGCAAAGTTGAACACATTCGAGTCATTACGCATCAGGTATTTATTGACATTCTCTTTGATTCTCGGTGTCAGTACGCAGTGCTTTGCTTTTTATTCGATGGTCCGCCCCAGGTCCCATTTGACCTTTTTCTCTCTCCTTCATGAGCTGTCCACTTCAAAGCTTGTCTTGTGGTGCTCTTTGGATCACCTTTGCATATTACATGTCCTACAAATTTCACTATTTGCCTTTGTTTGTATTTTCAGTCCTATCTTGATGGTAAGGATACTATCACAGCACCTGATAACAACAAGCTCATTATAGCCAACTTGCAAACAAATTTGAACGATGCCTTGCACAGAATCCCTTTTACTCTAGAGTGCTACACTATTAAAGGTACATTAATTGATTACTACAGTTCATTGTCCTCATGACTTAGTGTCATGTTCGTCAAGGTGTAGTTATGGGATTGGTGGCAATACAAAGGGAAGCCATCACGATGTTGTTCTTAGTTATTAAACAGTATATTGAGTGTGTTGTCTGCCATTTCATTTAAAGCGACAATTTTTAAATAAAGACGTCCTCCGTTGTAGTTTTTATACAACATGTTACTGTTATCAGTACCACAATGCACTTCGCCAAACCGATAATGACGTCACCAGTTGGAATTCCAAGAAAACAAGTCCCCTTGAGAAATTATCTAGAATTTACAGTTCCTGTGAGAATAAATATATCAATAATCTACTATAAATACAACCAATGAATCTTCATTTCGATGTAATGGAAGGCACTGTGAACTGCTACTTTTCGAGATAGCGCTGTGAACAATGAAAACCTCTAATAGAAAAATACTATGGTTATTATTTTTATCATATGTTATTCGTAAACCAGGTCAGTTTTACAACAGTGTAAAATCAGATTGCGCTACTGGTCAAGGATCGATGGGAAGCATTTATGAAAGGGTGAAGAGGCATAGAGGTATAGACGAAGCATCCAGCAAGTGTACAGAAAGAACTGGAAACCTGTTTCCACCAGTAAGATATAGAAAATCGTTATTGTTTACTGAACGTTATACCATAATATTCCACTGAGTACTGCGCAAAGACCAAATAGACATGCGTTATAGTCCGCTTGTTGGGTTAGCTAATTTACATCCGACGAATTAGTCCAGCAAATCGTGGGCAGTTTTTCGAACAAAAGTTTATCTGGGAAAGGTTGATAGGAATCAAGGTTCTATTTTAATTTCACCCTTCATCTTTTTGCAAAGCATACTTTCAGAATAAGAAAATTAATAATAATTTGAAATATGACAATTAGGAGGAATCATTTTTTATGATGAAAAACTCTTATATACTTAAGCTATGCTGTATTGTAAATTCAGTTTCCCAGCGACATCTTGAAAGGTAGCTCGGACCCTGAAATCATCAAGACGAGATATATATCTACCACTACAAACTTAGTCGCTGTCTCGCTTTGATCCAATAGACCTTTTCTGAAATACAAAACCAGAAGTGCATTGTGGTCTAGCTTCAGCATAAACAACGCCATATTTGGCAGAATGAACAAAAGATGTTTGTACTGAACCTAGACTACAATGCATTGCAAATTGCTATCTCAGAAAAGACCTATTAAGGCTCGTCTGGGAACTCTTAAATGGATTCCTACAAGTATAATGATAGCTTATAGTATATACTGCCCCATAATGAAAGTTGTCCTTCGTTTAGCAGCCATATATGGAAATCTTACCTTATTTGAAAATACGATAGGACTGGTTTTTGGCGATTTTCTCGACTTTAAAAGCATAAAATCGTATGGAACTTGCAGATATTATAGCTAAAACATTTCCCAAACAATCCGCCATCTTGTTTGTTTCCATATATGGCATGGATTCGCTAAAGGAAGCCCAAAACTAAAAAGCACAGGGAACCCACACGAATGACATACAATTCTTTGACATGTTTTTAGCTTGCTGACGTGACTGCTGCCTGGGAAAAATGGGTGTCTGAAAATCCAGAGAATAACAAGATTTGTCTTATGAATGACGACTGGGTTGTAAACAAAGTCATAGAACAACTACAAAAAGGAGAGAATGACCCTAAAAAAATCGCCGATGTTATCGGCAAGGGCGAAGCAGAAGATGAGGTCCAAGCCATGATTGACATCCTTAAGGATGACCCAAGAGTTAATCAGCTGTCAGATACTGTACAAAAATTGATTTGCGATCTAAGAAACGCTGTTAATGAGGGTCATATGACCATTGACGTGGCACTAGGGATTGTCAATGGCAGCTCTCCCAACCGAAAGGTTACCGAGGATGATTTCAACAAACATGTACTCCTGTGTAGTCAATAGGTAATTATATGTTCACCAAGAGACATCGATCAAGATAATGTTTAGGAATGGAGCTTAGAAAAATAAAGTTTTGTCCCTCTCCCCTCCCCTCCCCTCCCCACCACATCACGTTTCCATTCTTACTTACCGACATATCGTAAATGTTTATTTGACARTTCTTTGTATTTCAGATTTACCATGAATACTGCACTTAAACATTGAAATATTGAAACCGGCCAAACATACAAAAACGATGGAGTTTTGATAATTTTTAAAGTTAAAAAAGGAAAAATGAAGAAAGTCAACTAAGAAACACCTGTAAAAAACCTTTAAAGAAATAAATTCAGAGCAAGTCAAAAACTGTTATTTATTGGGAAATGGATTGAGAAATATGCTATTAATCAACCAAACGACCAACTCCAACCACTACCCACCCACCCACCCACCCAACCAGTCCTCTCACCTTCCCAAAGACTAATCAATCAATGTCTTATGTGGTACAGTTGACGTTACCAGCAGTCGTGTTGATGGAGCATGCGCAAGACACTTTTCCATGAATGCTTATTAATCTTCATGCAACAAAATGGCCGCCCCGACGTTTGTCTTCCGAATCTCAACTGACGAATGATTTTRAAAACACCAGTTAATCAACCTTAAACTCTAGATTATAAACCACCTCTTTTGTTCATTTACTGAATTAATGAATGCACCGAAGGAACTCAAGAAGATTAACAGAAGTCTTATTGATCTTAAAATGAAAGCGCCCGGGATAGCCACCAAAATGAAAATCAGAATTAATAAACAATATAATGGAAAATGCCAAACAATTCTGATTAAGTGCTTTGTTCACTTTGTTTTTAGTGCTACAATGTTTGTTTACCGGGTTTAAATCACAAACAAACGATACAGAAACTACAACAARAATATTGAAAACAAAAAACTGTTGTCAAAACGACCAATTATTACATTACCCCAAGAGAGCAAAGCAAATCTTGTTAAACGCTGAAAATGCTCTCATCGTATTGTGTGATATTTTTTATTCCTTATCTCAGTTAACTCAAGTTTGTTACCGCGCTTCAACGTGTCACCAGTATTCGAGACCACTTTTGAATTGACAGTCCCATCCACGAAAACCCTTTCCATATCATGATAAGGATCTTGACTTCTGTCGCACAATTGGTATCAATTAAACGTAATTGTTTGAACAAAACGTTAATCACAACTTATGTAATAAGAAGATCATTTGTTTTCAAAAGATTTTTTACATTACCTCATGGCTTTGCGATCACACGCTGTGCACACTGATACATTATTAATGAGTCTGCCAAGTTAGTCGCACAGTGTGTTAGTCGTACAGTGTTATTCAACTCTCGCCTTACGGACACCCCGCTACAACGGACACCTCGATATTGCGGAACGTAAAATACTGAATACCCGGCGAAAACTACAAAGAAATGGCTGAAAGTAACTCTCGTTACTGCGGACACTAAATTACGGTCCCGACGGTGTCCGTAATAGCGAGAGTTAACTGTATTTCTAAAGTTCTCCTTTACAATATATTTAGATATAAAACTAAAGCTTGTCCCTTGTGATTTTTTTTATTCATAAATTATTACTTTATCGAGATAAACTGAGATACAACAGATCACTTGAAAGGCGCCAAGAACTACCTCTGACACTGTCCGTATATGGTATTCAAAAACCCGAACTCTTCACAAAGATCTGCCTCCCCCACTTGGTTCATAATGGCGGKCAATAGATTCCAAATAGACGAATACAGTAGAGTAGTAAAGTCGATCGATATCGGAAGCCTTTGTTGAGGTTATAGCAGGTATTCTGTAAAACAGGTTAGTTGATGCTGCCCATCCATATCACAAAACTCAGGTCCCTTAATTAACAACCCCTGGAAAAAATCACGCGCTTTAAATTTGATGCAAATATGATGTAAGTGTCCAAAATRCTGTAAATTTAATGGAAATCATTTACATCAAATTTACAACCTTTAAAGCTCGCGATTTTTCCCAGTGAACGTTTTGAAAAATCGATCTAGTGTTCTGGGATGATGCTAATCATTGAACGAATGGCTGTTGTCGTAAATTTTCTTAAACGAGACAAGATGGTGGATGACAACTGCTATATTCCACGTGCAATACAATGTGGGTCACATGACCGGAAATGCATAAAACGGAAGTACACTACAGTAAGTAAACTGCTGTGGCGGGTGTATGATAGAGTGCAAAGTTTTCACATTTAATCCCAGAAGTATTTATTTGTGGCTATATTTGTTTGAATTATCGATTTATTGACTGATTGATTGATTGATTGATTGATTGATTGATTGATTGATTGATTGATTGATTGATTGATTGATTGATTGATTGATTGACTGATGGATTGATTGATAAGTTTTTTAGGTAAGAGGTAGTGGTTGGAGTTGGTCGTTTAGTTGATTAATATCACATTTCTCAATCCATTTCCCAATAAATAACAGTTTTTGACTTGCTCTGAATTTATTTCATTAAAGGTTTTTTACAGGTGTTTCTTAGTTGACTTTCTTCATTTTTCCTTTTTTAGCTTTAAGTTTTATGTCCATTATCAAAACTCCACCGTTTTTTTATCAGTATTTGAAAACTGATGTTTGTATATTTGGCCGGTTTCAATATTTCAATGTTTAAGTGCAGTATTCATTGTAAATCTGAAATACAAAGAAATGTTAAATGAGCATTTGGTAAGTATGACTGGAAAAGTGATGTGGTGGGGAGGGGGACAAAACTTCATTTTTCTAAGCTCCATTCCTAAACATTATCTTAATCGATGTCTCTTGGTGAACATATAAAGAATTACCTATTGACTACGCAGGAGGACATGTTTGGTTGTTGAAATCGTCCTCAGTAACCTTTCGGTTGGGAGAGCTGCCATTGACAATCCTTAGTGCCACGTCTAAGGCCATATAACCCTTATTAACAGCGTCTCTTAGATCGCAAATCAATTTTTGTACATTATCTGGCAGCTGATTAACTCTTGGGTCATCCTTAAGGATGTCAATCATGACTTGGATCTCATCTTCTGCTCCGGACTTGCCAACAGCATTCGCGATTTCTGTAGCGTCTGTCTTTCCTTGTTGAAGCTGTGTTATAACACTCTTGACAATCGTCTTACTATTCATTAGACATACCTCTTCGAGATTGTTACTCGAAGCCCATTTTTTCCACATTGCTTTAGTGTTTTCGAGCTAGAAGAAGATAGCAATTAAATCAATGTTAGGGGACAACAAAGCATGATGGTAAGGGTAGGGGACAACAAAGCATGATGGTAAGGGTAGGGGACAACAAAGGGGTCAGTCACAACTACCAGCCTTGTCGAAGAAAGTGGTGTCACTGCGCATGACTTGTTAGGATGGATAATCTAGTCATTTGACTTACTGTGGGAAGCAGTGCTGTTGTAGTCTTTTCTGCACATCTGCTGGATTCTTCGCCAGCACCTTGCAACCTTTTCACAGTATCATAAACCTGTGATAACGGTCGTTCACCAAGCGCACACTCTTCTCTCACCCCACTAATGAATTTTCCTGCAATAGATAAACAAATAAGTACGTAACTAAAGCGAATACATAGAAAATGATTTAAGTAAAATAAGTTGTTATAAGTTGTTTTGCATATTTTGATATTTTTCATATCGTTTCATNGGGACAACAAAGCATGATGGTAAGGGTAGGGGACAACAAAGCATGATGGTAAGGGTATGGGACAACAAAGCATGATGGTAAGGGTAGGGGACAACAAAGCATGATGGTAAGGGTAGGGGACAACAAAGGGGTCAGTCACAACTACCAGCCTTGTCGAAGAAAGTGGTGTCACTGCGCATGACTTGTTAGGATGGATAATCTAGTCATTTGACTTACTGTGGGAAGCAGTGCTGTTGTAGTCTTTTCTGCACATCTGCTGGATTCTTCGCCAGCACCTTGCAACCTTTTCACAGTATCATAAACCTGTGATAACGGTCGTTCACCAAGCGCACACTCTTCTCTCACCCCACTAATGAATTTTCCTGCAATAGATAAACAAATAAGTACGTAACTAAAGCGAATACATAGAAAATGATTTAAGTAAAATAAGTTGTTATAAGTTGTTTTGCATATTTTGATATTTTTCATATCGTTTCATTTTTGCTTGTGAATTGTTCTCCCTCTATTAACCATGGCTTGTGTAAGATATTTTTAGAAAACAAACAAACAAACAAACAAACAAACATTAAAATGAGTGCTATTCAGCAATAAATTCATAAATTCGTCGCTGCAAGCAGGTTATAGCTGGGGCGTAGAGATCTCCGATGGACCGCCGTACTTCCTAGCTACAGAGACAAACTCTTATCCTCCAAACAACATTAGTTAATCAATTCAAGGGAAGACGGCTTATATCAATATTCAGAAGCTCTAATGTCAACAATAAAAAACAACAAAATATAGTTCTTCATTTGTCTGACCTCTCGCTGTGTAGCACTGTAGTGTGAATGGTATACGGTGTAAGGCGGCGTTGGCATTTCGTTGTACATCATTTATCTTTAGTTTGTCATTATCGCTGACAGTGTTAATATCCTTACCGTCGATGTATGCCTGTTGAATTGGAGAATTTCTTAGTTTCAACACATTCTTGTAGTTTTTTGCTGATAGTTGCAAGGAGAGCGATCCATTTAAAGTCTTACCTGCATCCGACAACCTTTGCGATCGTTCGCTTTGTTTCAGAAAGTTGCTTGCTGATTAGTACAAAATCAAAGATGGCGATTTTTTGTATGGGACGAAGTCTCGCAAAGGTTCTTGGGTGCACGCGGGCGGTAACACAGTAAAACCGAACCTCTTAGCGACGAAGTGTGAGTTTACGTGTCCAATACTTCACTTTAAAATTCCCAGTGTAAAGTAGCCAAGCTTTTGCATTCAAGTGAGATAGTTAGTTAAGACTGCAAGACAAGTCAAAGCTAGTATCTCCAAAGGGCGCCCAGGCTCACCAGTTGCGTTGCTTTCACGGCGGTGTCAAGTCTGTCAATGTATTGCGTGGTTCGCGGTTCGAGCCATCATGACACCGCCGTGAAAGCACCACAACTGGTGAGTCTGGGTGCCCTGTGCCTATCTCAATCACTGTCTCGCTTTGAGGCTCACTGCCTTTCAATTATGACGCTTATAACTGTAAAGAGATCAAGTCACACCTGTAATGCACTGTTGATTTCACTGGTGTCATCGTTTTGTTTTGCTACTGAAGAATCCATCATCATGGTTTTCAGGTCCCCCATGGCACCCGTGACTGCGTCATTGAAAGCGTAGTTTGTAATGTTATCGAATGCCTGGGATATATGAATTAAAGCGAAGTAAGCGAATGATAAAAATAAACATTGTTTTATACGAAATTGATTATAATCACATCTTTAGGACACTGAATGTTATGTGTGCTGCCATTAACCCGTGACTCTCGAGCGATGACAGTGTACCTCTTGAATTTCTGCATTGGCTATTGTAGCGTTTTCAAAAACTTTTTTCGTATCAGCAATCATTTCACGCATCTTTGCTACGCCTTCCTCTGACTTATCAGCCATTTTTTGACATTCTGTCAGTTGACTTATGAAGCTCCATATTCCAAACGCTGCGTTGCAATAATACATTAGTCAATAATACATTAGCCAATAATACATTAGCCAATAATACATTAGCCAATAATACATTTGCTGCCGTAGCCAGGCGTATAGGGGAAAGCAATGAGGGTAGGAAATAGAGAGAAGAAAGGAAAGACAAACCTAGGCACATTTCAAAGAGAACTATCCTCTCCTTAATGCCCATTCCATTATCTATTGCCTGGTTTCCTTACTGTCTTTAGAATTGTCTGCGGTCACGACGTGAAACAGACAAACAAGCCGCGTCAAACAATAAGAACAAGCCGAAACCGCCATCTTTGACCAAATATGTCGAGTTATTTCTTACCTGAGCTCAAAAGCCCTAGAATTGGAGCGATTCTTTTTCCAATACTTTTAAACACCTTAGCTGCTTTAACCAGACCACTTTTGAGTCCATCTCCGATCTTTTGTAGACCTCTACCAAAACGTGTGTTCATAATTTTACTTGATCTGATTCTCTCAGAAAAACTTTGCCCGGCCGAGCTTCCTGCCGATACAACAGCATTCCCCATTCTTGTCTTTACCTTCATGACAAGGATAAAAGAAAAACTCATTTTTTTTATCTGCTTAAGGTTAACTTAACTATCATTCTGCTACGCAAAATTGTCCAGCGTCATTACGAGATGACACTGTTCCTTACTACGTCTGTGTCAGGGGTGTGTGCGCTCTCCCCGTATTGCATGACGGGTATATGTAATTCAAATTGAGTCTGTTGAAACGTGCAACATCTACTTTATTTCTATGCTATGAATGAATATCAATATTCTCAAATTTGTTTTACTACCTCAACAAGTTTCTTCCCAAGAACAGTGTTTTTTAGATGCTTTTTCCACAGGAGTTTTGCTCCACTGAAGGTCAATGTTAGTGAGGGGAAAAGTAGCTCCAATGCAAGTTCAAGGCCTTCCTTATATCCTAARTAGATCTGTTCTTCGGTCATCTTTTGTGCTGTCGCATTTTTCTCTTTGACGAGTTGCTGCAAAGATGATATAACCATTAAAATGTGTTTTACATACGTTTACGCATAGCTTAGWTTTACTAAAATAGACAATTTTCCAACATTTTGACATAGACCTTTACCTCTATCTCGTAAGTAGTATTCTTAACTTTAACTAAAACTTCAGGCCCAAATGAAAGAAGTACTCGTTCCTTTTCATTGGCGATCTCTTCTAGTTTGTCTCTCGTCTTTCTGTACTCGTAGAAGCTTGCATTGATGTAGATTTGTCGACTTAGGGCTTGGATGGAAAATTGAAAAAATGGTATGAAATACGCAATGTTGAGTTAAACGAACAACAATGCAAAATTGAATTTATGTTGAACTCCTTTGGGGTGAATCACTGTATGTTGTTGTCTTTTTAATGAGCGACGACCATTTTCTCAAAGATTAGTATTATCCTATTAACTTACCTTGTAGATTGAGCTTGTCAATGGTATCACTCAAATCCTGAAATTCCTTTTTTAGTTTTTCGGTTTCTTCCCAGTTCTTTTTGAGATTTCCAAATCCTGTGCACCCTTCGATGGCTCTTGTTATAGTAATAGAAATGCTCGCTAAAGAAGAAACTGCCGATGCACCCTCCGCGACGAGATTGACCTTTGAGATAAAGGTTTTGCTCCCAAGGAATTTCCAACCTTTTCTTAACCATGTGCCAGCTTTTGTGGCAGCTTTTGCGGCTAATGATCCAAAAGATCGTGCTTCGACCCTGTCTTCGTCCATTTCTGMGAAWGAAAACGAAMAGAATTATCAATCATGAGATTTATTGTCAAAGGTCAAGTAAATTWATCTTAAACAGGTTCAGAGAAGTCATGTTATTTATCTTTTTTTTACTTCATGTTAAACTTGATGTGGTACAACTTACGGGAAATTCATGTCCCGGGTCGGGGGGGACTCCAGGGTAAAAGTACTGAAGATGCTCGTCGGAAATGTTCAAATTTTGTAAGAAAGAGCGTGGCTTATTTAAGAGATTGCACAACAAATATAGTTAAATTAAATCAGGTTAATGATAAAATGTATAAAATATTTAATGACAAACCAAAAACGCAGAAGAAAATCAATATCGATGTGCTCTTTCCTTCTTTTCCGACACCCTAAGAGAAAATAAGTTTCCAGAAACGAATTTTTACCCCTATGACATCCGACAAGCATCCCCCCCCCCGAAAAAAAAACTTCCGGAGGGTTCATGTTAATTCCCCCCCCCCTCCCCGGGGGTCAATTTAAACATATGTGCTTGTTGCCAAATTTGTCAAACTAAAAGTACTAAGAGCACAAGCATGTTTCATTTACCAGGCAATCTATTATCATATTTGTGATTAAATTATAATAGATTTAAAGTATCGAGAGTTATTAAAATCAGRGCTTTGCGGTCATGTATTTTATGTCAAATGATCACCGTAAAGATCTCGAACCACTGCCAACGCATTTTTCATCTTTGACATATTTAAATGATTTGTAATCAAAAATCTCCAAAATTAMCAGGCTCATTGAACCAAAGATAAATTGATTAAACAACGGGATCTCACGAGACAAAATGAACAAATCAGGAAAAAAATAGTCGAAACGATTAAAAATAAGTAAAACTGAAAGAAAAAAAAAACTGAAAATAGATATACTAACCATGATCTTCATAATTGCCTTCTTCTTTAAAGTGTTGTTTCTTTTCATGTTTTTTCTTATGGTGTCTGAGTCTCGTGTGGGACAAGTCGGCAGTGAAGGCTGGTGAAAACTGCTGCAGAAGMACCAATAGGGAGAGAACCGCGAACAGTCGCTTTGAAGGTTTCGCCATGGCTGAAAATAGAAATCATATTTCAATTATAATCTGTCTTARTTACACCTATTCAGTTTTAGCTAAAGTTATTTGAAGATTTTTTTACCCAAATTGAAATTTTGACTTTTCGACACCTCAAGTTAACTCTAATTACTTTTAGTGCGTCGGCTAAATCCTTTGCTGAAAAATTAATTCAGAGAAAAGCGGAGAAAAAGAAAATTTAAAGTCGCACTAACTAGCGCTTGCATTAAACCTGTGAAACACGATTCAACTGCTAAATCTTAATAATTGCTCGTTGTTAGCGTTGCATTTCTAATTGGACTTAAACACCATTGTTAGTGGATTTTGTTTAACGGATTTAACGTTCTTTCTCTAATTTGATGTGTAAGCATTACAAACCCAGTAGTTACCTCGGCAGTTATGGKCCGTCTGACGAATAGAGTCGATTTCCTTTGACTTGTATTATTTCATGGTCGCTAGTATTGCCCCTCCACGCGTGTGATAGTGCCACGCCCACTTTCATTGAACAATCGACACGCCTCACCAAATGAGTCAATGAATTAAAAATAATCTTTTAGAAAAAAATATAATTCTAAATCTTTCGATTCTTCGAATGTTAAAACTTGTAATATCTGAATCTTGTAATTGTCGGTTTAATGTAAGAATATTAAAACACTGCTTAATCACCAAAGTTATTTGAATTGTGTACTTACTGTATCCTGTGCAAGAGATAGAATACTATTAGTTATTAGTATTAAAATACTAGTGGACTATTGCAAATCCTTCGTTCTGTTTGGCTACGCTCCTCTGGGTTCTATTTTCAATAGTCCTCGACTAGCGAAAAGCGACAACTTTTTGCGTATTTTTAGCAATAAAAACATTTAGCTATTTATATATTTCATTCTTTTTTTGTCCAACTAGTATGGTAATACTAAAACAATTAGATCTCTGGGCCTCGTGGACTAATTGTTAAGTAGCAGTCTTCATTTTGATCGTTTTCTTTTTAATCAACTGGAGTTTTTTTTACGTTCAAAACAATTAAAGACGAGACTCCGGTAAAACGATAGATATAAATCCTCAACTTTTGCTTTCCCAGAGCCTCGTTACCAGTTCTTTTGTCTGTGGTTAGTCAAGCGTTTTACAAGAGAGATCGAATGACTCTAGCGTGTGACTAGTGGTAGGCCGCATTTTGGTAGTACGAATACTACGAATTTCTCACGATATATTCAGAAGTTGTTTTGAAATTATTAATGATTGTTTTACTAGGATAAARTAGTTGCAACCCAGACTAACTATGTACAATTTAAGAACCGAGGCTCCAGGGAAACAACATATAATTCTTAATTTTGGATTGGTCTGGTTAGAGGTAGTTACCTGCAACGCGYATAAAATATTCAGTAGACGATTACACAGTAGACCGATTTGTGTGTTTTGCTCTTGTTTCGATTCAGTGGACTACAACACATACTCAGGCAGGCTGCTGATCAGTCATTCACGAGTCTCCTCACGATTTCCCTCAAGCCCGACCATCAGCGAATCAGACAATCCCAGTCAATCATTTCAGCAATAAATTGTTTCATTGATGAGAACGGCTTTTAAAAATGAGTTCATTTCAACCCTCTATTCTAGCTATGATCTACACGATGATCAAAGTATTCAGAAAAAGGCGCGAGAATTACGGCATTTTGCTGTGATTTAACCAGTGAAATATTACGAGGGAAAACCTCCCATTTTTTATAATACCAAGCTTTCGTCGTAATGCACTCAAGACTAACTCCACCAAAATAACTCGMGATTTCCCTCACGCCGGACTATTAGCAAATCAAAAGATCCCCCGTCAATCATTTGACCAATACAATCAGCCATGCCGTAATTCCTAAAAGATTTGTCAAACTTGTTGGTAGTCGAAACCTTGATTCCTTCTTTTTGGTCCCTTTATAAGTAAATACCACCTAAATTTTATGGTTATTATCTAATGATAAAATACAATTCACTCGCTTTATGGTTAAATATATTGAGTGAAATCCCATTTTATCTCGCTCCTTCTTCGTTACCTTCTTACTCGCTTCCAAACAAATTAACATAATAACATTTCCTCTTAAAATTCAACTGTGAGAAATAGAACACAACGACCAAGTTAATCAAACTCGGGTGATTTTAAGTGAACTGAACAATTGGATAGGTTTAYAGCAACCCGCTCTTGGCTAAAGTTTCCATCCATTTAAAGGCCCAGTGTGCACCACTATGCTTTGGGGGYCGCGAAGGCCGGGAGGCGGCCATTTTCAGTTTACCGAAAGTCTATAAATTGTACTGTKYGTKTCRAATYTTTGRCCATBTCASTTTTCTAAGCACTTTAAACGCTAATATAAGAGTTTTCAACCATGTGAACCATCCGTTTTATGGTGATACTAGAAGTATAACGAGGCGGGCGCGCAAAGCATAATGGTGCAAACTGCGACTTTAAATAATTGGGCCATTCAGCACCGATCGAAACGGGTCTCACGATAGGTTGAGAAAATAATTGACAAACAATAGATAAGTCTTCCAACGATAAAACAAAACCTAAAAATAGAGCTGCTGTACTTAAGCAGCAATCAAAAAGCAGGCTTCTATCGTACTGTATTACTGAAAAAATTATATAATAACTTTTCCCATCAAGAATACAAAAAATTAAGTAAAATAAATATTACTCCGTGGCGATTTTAGCACATTACTTTTGGTAAAGCCGCGAAAAGCGAAAAATGTTTCCGCCCCCTACAGGAACCTGTACAGATTAAAGGAAAACCGATAGTTTTCTTAATTAAAGTGTGAACTTTCTCTTATTATTCATGAGCCGGGACCTATTAGACGTAGGTGGTCGCTTCAAATGGGCGGGGCACAACCAGGGCAGGACTGGCCCAAAAAAACTGGTCATACTCAGAAAGCAAACATAGAAAAAAATATAAGAAAAGATCTAAGAATTCTATTGGAACAATTCTTCTAACTTGAGTTGTCTAACGGGTAAGAAAATTGTTTKCTATTTTATTAATATATTTTTTTTGCTATAGTGAATGTATATTTACATTTTAGATTTTCAATCATCGCTTCTGTCACCGCATAATAGAAAAAGAATCAAATCTTTTTTTTTTGAGAAAAACTTCACCAATTTTCCTTCTATATTCGTTAATTGTTTCATTGATGAGAATGGCTTTTAAAAATGAGTTCATTTCAACACTCTATTCTAGCTATGATCTACACGGTGATCAAAGTATTCAGATAAGGCACAGCTAAGACTTTACGGCATTTTGCAGTGAATAAATCCGTGAAATATTACGAAGGAAAACTTGCTTTATTATAATCCCAAGCTTTCGTCGTAATGCCCTAAAGACAAACTCCACCAAAAATAACTCTTTTTTTGTATAAAATAAGAGTAAATTCTGTTTTAGTGTTTTCAGCCATGGCTAAACCCTCAAAGCGACTGTTAGCGGTTCTATCGCTTTGTATTCTGCTGCAGCAGTTTTCACCAGCCTTCACTGCCGACTTGTCAAGAAATAGAATCAGCCATAATCGCGAAAAGAGAGGGGACGAAGTAGAGGAAGATGATCAAGGTTTGCTAGTGTTTCAGTTATAATTAATAAACGGTTCGCACCCTCGCACACGAAACATTTTTAGACGGTCTATTGACCAACTTAATCTAACTCGATTTCCCTTAAATAGACAGATACAATGTTGTGCTTACTTTGAAGTTTTTAAAACATGTATTTATCACTAATACACTGCAAAAATTATAGCAGATTTTTTTACAGAAAGAAGAAGATTAAAGAAAGCTGATTTCCAGGCAATACTGCTTTTAACTATTGCATGTAACAAATAATAGGAAACCAAGGAAATTATTCGAGAGGATTTTGAGAAAATCTTCTTACTTTTTCTCAAAATCGGCTCGAAGAATTTCTTTGATATTTTTGTAATATTTGTTATATCCCACATTTAAAGTCGAAATCGGCCGAAAATCAGCTTTCTTTGAATTTCCTCTTTTTCTCATATTTATTGATTAAAACTAATTGCATGTTTAAGAACTTGAACTATGTTTAATATTGTATGTTTATTTAACGAAAATCAATTAGTGATATTATATTATGTTGTTTAAACGGTCGTTTAAAAATGTTCCGTGTGAGAGGAACAAGTATAAAACACCTTAAACAATAGGAACTAGCATGAACTGCAATGAATAAGCATAATTAAACATTATATTTTTATCTATTTCGCAGGTATATTTAGAGTGATTTTTCGTCGTTGGTGAAAGAAAAATGTCTTTCTAGTAGGCGCTAGTTGATAAATATAGAACAGAACAATGAGTTTGAAGTCGAACTATTCTAGTTGCACTATCTTTTGTTAGTTGTAGATTTATTATTATATTTTGGCGAAATCATCAAATTGACATACATCTAGTACTGAAGTCATTCGTTGTGGTCGAGTCAATATAATACTCCATTTTTGAGTTGAAAGCGAATAATTGCTGTCTTTTTGACAGCAGATTCTCTTGCACAGAGGTCTTACCTAAAACAAAAATGGGAAAATGTTTGATTTACAAAAGCCCTTTTGCCTTTTCCAAAAGGCTTAAAACTTAGGCCTTCTGGGGATACAAAGTTAGACTCAATTTGTATAAAAACATCCAAGGCTATTTTAACAACGACACGCTTCCTTTTGTGTTTGGCCGGTAAGGTCTTTGCGCAAGAGAACCTGTGGTCAAATTTCATAAATGGTATATCTAAGTAATTATAATGGATAAATTCTTTCTTTAAGAAAACTCYGAGGGAAGAGGAAAGATAGCGAACAAAATATTTGGCACAATTTTGAAAAAGGGTTGGAAGTTCCTTGGAAACAGTAACCTTATTGGCAAAATAAACCTCGCGACTGACTTTACTGGAGCATTAGCTGGAGTACTCTCCAATAGCGATCTCGTCAACAAGGCCATTGAAAGTTGTGGGGAACCGCTTTCTTCCCAAATTAAAGCCAATTGGGAAGAGTATAATCGYTTGGTTAATGAATTCGATAAAGACAGTAAAGAGATTGATAAAGTGAATCTTCAAGGTAATGATAATAATAATTGATAASATCTTAATAATTATAGCCAAACACAATAACGATAATGATGCGTGAATATAATGATGGTCGCGATGATGATAAGATAATACAAACTTTGTTGAAATTATTGACATAATCGATCATCAACYGTAGTAGGTTAAATTAGCTGATCAATTTATCATTCAATTCAATCTATTTATTTACCTTTTCAAAGCCGAAAGTCGACAAATATACACAAACTCAAGTTTTTACGAGTACAGGAGGACCAGGATGAAACTAGAAATYATTTCAGAAGAACAGGAAAAAATACTCAAWGCACTTGGATCTGAAGACGATGTAAGCACCCACAATGCATCCATTACAATCACATAAGAATATTTACAACTCCTTGTAAATCACCTCCTCCGACATTGAATATAAGAAACTGATTCCATGTGAATAAGCATTTCGTGAAATTGTCTTCCAAGCCCTATCAGATGATCTGAATTACAAAAGATGTAGCGAGGTCGGCGGTGGCGGGTTTACAATGATTTCTGCAGGTGCCCGTAATAGATAGAGAGAAAAATATCCTGTTTAAAAACATTGACAAAATAGTCAAAACAAATCGTTGCAAACTTGGAAAACACATGGAATGACGCCTTTCGATAGCGATATATTTATTAAAATTCATGTTCCGTGTGACCTCATTTGTGTCCGATCAACAGGAGTTGAAAATACTTATTTTTTGCTCTTTGATACTTTGGTACTCTTTGATAGAGTCATTTTCATCCGTCTGTGAAATTGGGATTATGCTATTAAATACTATCTATTAGTTCCCAATAGTTTAACTGACAAACTGATTAAGCAAACACGGTTTTGATTTTGCCTGTTGGTAGTCTACTACACCCTAATAGTTACTATTAAACACCGACTAAAGTAGTAAATGTTTCACAGACGGATGAAAATGACTCTAATCAACATTCTAGTTAGCAGGCAACACAGGAAATGACAAAAGGGCCAGAATTAGGCTGCCGAGTGGTGTAGTACCGAAGATAATGAACATTCGGCTTACGAACATCAATTTCAAAGTGGATATGCAAGGCATAGGGAATTCCGTCCAGCCTAAACTAGATGGCGCAGCCAAGGGCTTCAAGGGAATTGCTAACCGAGTAGTGCCATTCATAAAACTCTTCATGGCAGGTAAGTTTCGAGACAACAATAAATTCTCGACTGTATTATAACTTGAAAGAGCGGCCCAAGGTAGTTAAAGTTAAAGTACGCTCTGCACGTGCGTGACATCGTGTCATGTGTGTGACATGTGAGTATTTGACGAAATGAAATACCCGAGTCCTTTACAAATCTCTTTGCATTACAGCTTGGGGTATATGGACGCTTTTCGCAAAATCAATAGCCCAAGAAGCAGAATGTAAAAAAATGGTTGAAAAGTCCAGCAAGAGCAAAGATGACATGGAAGATCTGTATAAGAAGACAACACGAATCTTGAAAGACGCAAAAAAATACAATAAAGAAGTACAATTGGTAAATCATTAAAACATATTGTAATTGTGATTTTGACCAATAAAATGTTTATGTAGCCCTCAAAAATTCAAAACTATATTTTCGTGTTCTATTTCTTTTCCAGGCATTTGATGATGTACACAAACATACAGTCGATGCAGAATTACTGGACACTTTGAACAAACTAAAGGAAGTCATGACCGATCCTTCAGTAGCTATCCAGTCAGACAGCAGTGTTCAAGGCATTGTWGCAGCTTTGGAGGTATGTCTTCCCTCTAATCATCCTGATCGCCAATCATCCGGCTGCAACGTGTAGGGTAATGATTATTGACACATTAACTTCGACAGRAATACGTGAATGGCAAAAGCATAACCACAACAAGCGAAGAGAACAAGGTCAAGCTAGCCCAGTTACAAAGAAATCTAAACGATGCTCTATACATAATGAAGTATATTTTAGAGTGCCATGTTACAAGAGGTAAAATGGTGTCTCTGTAGCTTTAACGTTAATTATGTACCGTATACGCAATGCATTGTAGGATATGTTTGGGACAAACATGGGGAGRGATTTCTTTTCTTTTCTTTAGAAACTAATCCCACAATACATTGAAAATCAAAGTAGTGACGTAAAAGATTTAAAAGAGTATTTCTTCATGAAAATTAGGAGAATTCATTTCACAAACTCAGTACATGACAAAAAACAAACTCATTTTCATAAAACTACTCCGAAAAGGTAGAGAGCCTCTCACTCAGACATGAAAGGATCTTTTACAAGGCTCTTAATTGTTTCCTACGACCAGGTGAAGTTATCAAGAACGTGAAAGAAATGTGCTCCGCAGGCGAAGGATCGCTATCACAAATCTACCAGAAAGTGAAGAGRCTAAATCCAGTCGAWGATCCTGACACATGTAACGACAGAATTGGAGAATTGTTTCCACCTGTAAGTTCAACAATCAACCTTCAATCTACTATCAGTAAAGTTGTTTTGTGCGTGCTCAATTGAATTTATGTTGCTTGTTTTTTGCTTGTAGGTCGACGTCATCAAAGCAGAATTTGAACAATGGGTGGCTCAGAATAAACAATTTAGCAAAATATGTCTCATGAACAACAAACGGGTAGTAGATACAGTCATAGAGCAGCTCCAAAATGGAGAAAAAGACCCTCAAGTAATCGCCCAAAAGGCCGAAGAAGAAGAAGAAGAAGAAGAGATCCAAGCTATGATTGAAGAACTTCAGAATGATCCAAGAATCAAGGRCCTGTCACATGCACTTCAACAATTGATTTGCAGTTTTAAAACAGCACAAATACCTTATTCTTCTGCGATTACCGTCTTAGGAAGTATGTTTCCTAAGAGAAAAGTTACAGAAGAAGAGTTTAAAAACCAAATATGTCCACTTCCGAGCGTCACCGAACGCAGGTAACACCGAAATAAAAGGTCGCACTCCATCACTAGGTTTCACTATTATCTAAGCAATCTATGAATCAACCTCCCGTTTTTAAGAAACTTCMRTTGGAACCCTATAAAACGAAACATTCCCTATCCTACCCCTCWTCCTCTCCTCTTTTTCACTGGCATTTTCCTACATCAAGGTGTYYTCTACTCCMAATTCTTTTTCCTATGAACACTGACATGCTCTCAATTTTTCAGATACTTAGACTGACAAAGAAGATGGCCCTTGGATAATTGATGGATCAGGAGTACTACATTGGGYACAGCGCAAACGAGCAAACTATCATTGATATAATGAAAGTGAATACAGAAATCTGATCAATAGGAATGAAAAAGGAAACAGTGAAGTTTACAAACAATAGTGAAAATAAACGAAACAAATATACAGCAAAATAATGAAATACAAGATTTACTACTAAGCCTCAACGACCGACCAACCAGAAATGATTGTACTCGAAGCAAAATAAAAAGCATGAATACGAAAATTACTGYAATATTGTCATATTACTCGTTGTCTTTSTACATTGACAATGTAAATGCGTTTATAACACACCGAAAATGGTAGAAATTATTATTCTTTTATTTGACTTAGAATAGTCTTGCTTACCGTTCCATTTGACTCACAGGTCATGAAATATTCCATATTTTATACTTCAGGCTTTTTTGTACTACACATTTTGAAAGACCATGAAAGAAGTGAAGATTATCAAACAAAAAGCTGGTCAAAAACTGGCTAAAACCTCATGTTGACAGGGATTCATGACTACATGTTATTCAGTCATATCAGATAGATGTACAAGCTGCCTTGCTAGGCCCTTTTGTGCAAGATCAACTGCCTTTTGCTTTGCCTTTAAAATGGAAATGAAATGTGTCAAAAAAGTAGAGAATGAGAGGTCACTAGACATAGAATGACAGCTTTTATACCTTGTTCTGTATGGATAAATCTGCACCATGTTCAACAAGCACCACAGCTATTTCAGACCTCTCCTCTTCGCAAGCCATATGTCTGACATGATAAAAATCAAGGTTTATCAAATTGTTCAATGCAATTTGCTAGAGAATATGAGGCAAAACTGTTTAATAGCAAAGGCTGACTAGGAGGAGAATGGTAATAAAATGTTGTTAACGATATCAAGTTCACTTACAGTGCTGTGTTTCCTTCAGCATCTTGCGTTTGTATATTACACTTGGCATCTAACAAAAGTTTAACGATCTTTACGTGGCCTCTAAAATATACAATGAATATGCAAATAGATAAATAAATGAACTGGGAAATGGATGGATGAATGGACAAATGAATGGGAATAWGAATGAATACTGAAATAAGATATAGAGAGAGYAARAAAGCAAAAGATGGCTAGTCTCCTCGMAGCCGTTACAAGGTTTGTTCCCAGCTGAGAATGACCAGGGAACGAGCCTTGAAATGGCTGTGAGAGGAGACTAAAAGATGGCTGGCATCTGTAGTATTAGCACACCTTGATGCAGCTCTGTGTAGTGGTGTTGCTTTGCTTGTTTTGTCTTGTGCATTCATGTCAGCTCCATGTTCAATTAGTATTTCTGCAATCTTAGCACAAGAGTAATCTTTTAACATACTATATCAATATCATATCAGCAGCTCAGATATAATAAACGCATCCTTGGGAACCCAAGTCTGTTAGACCTTGTTCTCGATTCGAAATTCAAAATGGCGGCCAGTAAATCTCTGATTGGTCGAGTGATTCACTCAACATTCTGATTGGTTGATTAACTTACTGGCCGCCATTTTGAATTTCGAATCGAGAACAAGGTCTTACAGACTTCGTGCCAAGGGGTATTTTTTGTGAGGAACGAATGACAGAAGATTACCCCTGGGTTCCCGAGGATGTAATAAACGATATTAATGTCAATACAACTATCACTAATGATAATTAYAATACTCTATTGATGTAATTAAGTGATAGTTATTAATATATCATAATGTATAATAATATTATAGATAACAAGGCCCATCTTATGTATAATTATATGCAAAAGCACACCTCATATCTGTCCCTTGATGCAGCATAATGCAACGGTGTCTGTCCATTAAAGTTGCAAGCATTGACATCAGCATTGTGCGCAATCAGATTTGAGGCAATCTCAGTTCGTCCAGCTGAGGCTGCGATCATAAGGGGAGTCCACCCACACTATAATAAGATAAACATATTATAATATTCATAAGATATGAAGAAAAATGAATTAAGGTGAATGATTGATTGATTGGATGCAAGGGTTAAACAAGAAAATATTGTCTAGAGGCCTGAGGTTCCACATCCTGAGAGCAGTTGAGGTCCTTACAAATGACCAAAAATGTTTTTTTTACATATTTACTTTCACTAGAAGTGGCAATGAATGTGGGTTATTCTACCATCAATTACTTCTTGTAATTATTTTAGTCTTGTTAGACATATATAAATGTACTTACATCATCCATGTCATCAACCGGTGAACCATGTTTAAGGAGATATGACACTAGTTCTGTATGTCCACCAGAAGATGCCCAATGTAGAGCTATTCTTTCATTCTTTTACAAAGAAAAGGGGAGAAATAAGTTCGATAATCAAATACAATCGCAAACACTTAGAAAKGGCTTWTTTTCCAATCAACACGGAAAACATTTTGAATATGAACCGATAATTTAAAGTAACAATTAGAAACTAATTTGCAAGCCACATAACTGTATTCTTGAAGTATTGTAAAGCTATATACTTAGAGAGCTTTGCATCCTTCATTTACGTAAAAAAAGACAATTTCAACATTAAAGCAATTGCGATTTCTCACACCGCGTGCCTGCATGTGAGTTTTTCATCGTTACCTGGTCTTTTTTTCTAACGAGATTTGGCTGTGCTTCTATCCTTTCGTAAACCTCTTTGTACTTCCCTTCGTGAGCAAAAGCACAAATGTCAAGATTAGACATGTTTAGAATAGAAAAATGAGATTTTACSAGAACATGACAATGCAACTTTTCGATCACTTATGCAGTTTCTGTTAGGCGTTCCYGGATTGACCGAGTGGAGTCTAGACACTACAATACACACAGGAAGCCCATGATTAACTTCGAATTCACTTTGTCATTTATAAAATTTCGTTTGGATTTCGCATGTTTTCATGTTAAAATGCACAACCAACTTGGGATGCTATTCTTTCAAGTACTTCTAGCATTCTTTAGCATCAATAGCGCCAAGAAAGATATTTTCAGCCACAAAGTGTCCAGAACAACTCCATTGGCTGTAACGAACCACAAATTTACATTGAATGCAAGTACGATTGTCAACAAGCTCGATCATTTCTGGAAAAGCACTGGATTTTGTCCTCCAGATCCACATAGCGAATTTCATAAATTCATGGCAACAAATGACATGGCACAGAATTTGGTTTATGTGGGGTCGGTTCCAAATCAGGGAATCAGTCAAGTCAGGATTCACTTTTTGCTTGACCTTGTTTCAATGTATTCATGCCAAAATGGCTCGTTGGTATTCTCCTTTGTGCATCTTGATGAGGCGTTNTTTGACTTAGAATAGTCTTGCTTACCGTTCCATTTGACTCACAGGTCATGAAATATTCCATATTTTATACTTCAGGCTTTTTTGTACTACACATTTTGAAAGACCATGAAAGAAGTGAAGATTATCAAACAAAAAGCTGGTCAAAAACTGGCTAAAACCTCATGTTGACAGGGATTCATGACTACATGTTATTCAGTCATATCAGATAGATGTACAAGCTGCCTTGCTAGGCCCTTTTGTGCAAGATCAACTGCCTTTTGCTTTGCCTTTAAAATGGAAATGAAATGTGTCAAAAAAGTAGAGAATGAGAGGTCACTAGACATAGAATGACAGCTTTTATACCTTGTTCTGTATGGATAAATCTGCACCATGTTCAACAAGCACCACAGCTATTTCAGACCTCTCCTCTTCGCAAGCCATATGTCTGACATGATAAAAATCAAGGTTTATCAAATTGTTCAATGCAATTTGCTAGAGAATATGAGGCAAAACTGTTTAATAGCAAAGGCTGACTAGGAGGAGAATGGTAATAAAATGTTGTTAACGATATCAAGTTCACTTACAGTGCTGTGTTTCCTTCAGCATCTTGCGTTTGTATATTACACTTGGCATCTAACAAAAGTTTAACGATCTTTACGTGGCCTCTAAAATATACAATGAATATGCAAATAGATAAATAAATGAACTGGGAAATGGATGGATGAATGGACAAATGAATGGGAATATGAATGAATACTGAAATAAGATATAGAGAGAGYAARAAAGCAAAAGATGGCTAGTCTCCTCGMAGCCGTTACAAGGTTTGTTCCCAGCTGAGAATGACCAGGGAACGAGCCTTGAAATGGCTGTGAGAGGAGACTAAAAGATGGCTGGCATCTGTAGTATTAGCACACCTTGATGCAGCTCTGTGTAGTGGTGTTGCTTTGCTTGTTTTGTCTTGTGCATTCATGTCAGCTCCATGTTCAATTAGTATTTCTGCAATCTTAGCACAAGAGTAATCTTTTAACATACTATATCAATATTATCAGCAGCTCAGATATAATAAACGCATCCTTGGGAACCCAGGGGTAATCTTCTGTGGTTTGTTCCTCACTCCCAGAAAAAATACCCCTGGGCACGAAGTCTGTTAGACCTTGTTCTCGTTTCGAAATTCAAAATGGCGGCCGGTAAATCTCTGATTGGTCGAGTGATTCACTCGAACATTCTGATTGGTTGATTAACTTACCGGCCGCCATTTTGAATTTCGAATCGAGAACAAGGTCTAACAGACTTCGTGCCAAGGGGTATTTTTTCTGGGAGTGAGGAACGAACGACAGAAGATTACCCCTGGGTTCCCGAGGATGTAATAAACGATATTAATGTCAATACAACTATCACTAATGATAATTACAATACTCTATTGATGTAATTAAGTGATAGTTATTAATATATCATAATGTATAATAATATTATAGATAACAAGGCCCATCTTATGTATAATTATATGCAAAAGCACACCTCATATCTGTCCCTTGATGCAGCATAATGCAACGGTGTCTGTCCATTAAAGTTGCAAGCATTGACATCAGCATTGTGCGCAATCAGATTTGAGGCAATCTCAGTTCGTCCAGCTGAGGCTGCGATCATAAGGGGAGTCCACCCACACTATAATAAGATAAACATATTATAATATTCATAAGATATGAAGAAAAATGAATTAAGGTGAATGATTGATTGATTGGATGCAAGGGTTAAACAAGAAAATATTGTCTAGAGGCCTGAGGTTCCACATCCTGAGAGCAGTTGAGGTCCTTACAAATGACCAAAAATGTTTTTTTTACATATTTACTTTCACTAGAAGTGGCAATGAATGTGGGTTATTCTACCATCAATTACTTCTTGTAATTATTTTAGTCTTGTTARACATATATAAATGTACTTACATCATCCATGTCATCAACCGGTGAACCATGTTTAAGGAGATATGACACTAGTTCTGTATGTCCACCAGAAGATGCCCAATGTAGAGCTATTCTTTCATTCTTTTACAAAGAAAAGGGGAGAAATAAGTTCGATAATCAAATACAATCGCAAACACTTAGAAAKGGCTTWTTTTCCAATCAACACGGAAAACATTTTGAATATGAACCGATAATTTAAAGTAACAATTAGAAACTAATTTGCAAGCCACATAACTGTATTCTTGAAGTATTGTAAAGCTATATACTTAGAGAGCTTTGCATCCTTCATTTACGTAAAAAAAGACAATTTCAACATTAAAGCAATTGCGATTTCTCACACCGCGTGCCTGCATGTGAGTTTTTTCATCGTTACCTGGTCTTTTTTTCTAACGAGATTTGGCTGTGCTTCTATCCTTTCGTAAACCTCTTTGTACTTCCCTTCGTGAGCAAAAGCACAAATGTCAAGATTAGACATGTTTAGAATAGAAAAATGAGATTTTACSAGAACATGACAATGCAACTTTTCGATCACTTATGCAGTTTCTGTTAGGCGTTCCYGGATTGACCGAGTGGAGTCTAGACACTACAATACACACAGGAAGCCCATGATTAACTTCGAATTCACTTTGTCATTTATAAAATTTCGTTTGGATTTCGCATGTTTTCATGTTAAAATGCACAACCAACTTGGGATGCTATTCTTTCAAGTACTGCTAGCATTCGTTAGCATCAATAGCGCCAAGAAAGATATTTTCAGCCACAAAGTGTCCATAACGACTCCATTGGCTGTAACGAACCACAAATTTACATTGAATGCAAGTACGATTGTCAACAAGCTCGATCATTTCTGGAAAAGCACTGGATTTTGTCCTCCAGATCCACATAGCGAATTTCATAAATTCATGGCAACAAATGACATGGCACAGAATTTGGTTTATGTGGGGTCGGTTCCAAATCAGGGAATCAGTCAAGTCAGGATTCACTTTTTGCTTGACCTTGTTTCAATGTATTCATGCCAAAATGGCTCGTTGGTATTCTCCTTTGTGCATCTTGATGAGGCGTTRGATATGCTTGTGAAAGACAATCGTCTTAGACCTGGCTTTGAGTTRATGGGAAATCCATCAAACTATTTTACAGACTTTGACGATGATAARCAGATCTACGACTGGATGAAACTGATAAAAGAGCTTAGCCTTCATGTGATTGGTAATTGATATTTAATATAATAATCATTTGCAGTGTTGGCCCGTTTTAGAATCGATCCGAATTCAATCAGTTTCTTTGCCAGTTTCCGGTTTTAATCAGAGGGGAGGGAGGGGTATGAAGAGCTTGAGGCGGGGGTCGGGGGGTCGGATGGAGGAGTCATCCTCAAGATGGGCGTGACAAACTAGTAATATGTTTTCATAATAACAATGCAATGTTAAACACTAAACGATACTCGGCCCTCGATTTTAAAAATCGTGTCGTTCTTAGATCGGTACGGTTTGGAAGAGGTCTCACAGTGGAATTTCGAGTCATGGAATGAACCGTTTAGTCGTATAGCCTTTGTTGGTTTAAACGTATCGCTCCAAGGCTAYCTGAACTACTACGATGCTTGCTCCGAGGGACTGCGCATGGCAAATCCAGCATTACGACTTGGTGGACCAGCCACAGGGAACCCGCTGTATCATCAAAAATCATCCAAGATTTTCTACGTAAGCAGTATAGTTCTGATATCAAATATGTGTTAGGGATAGATAGTCAAAATGGTAGTGATGGATATGAGTTACACTTAACTTGTGAGTTACAATAACTTGTTCTCATCATCGTCAGACGTTTCTGCAACACTGCTATGACGGCGTGAACTTCATCACTGGCGACAAAGGAGTCCGTCTAGATTTCATATCCTTTCATATCAAAGGTCAAGGTCTCTCATCCGATATCTTGGAAACAGAGCAGGTTGTCCTTGATCAGATTCAGCGACAGTTTCCTAAGTTTGCTGCTATTCCTGTGTACAATGACGAAGCGGATCCACTTGTTGGCTGGGACAGGAGTGAAGAATGGAGAGCTGACGCGCGATATGCTGCAATGGTTGTCAAGGTAACGTAACAAGAGGTATCATCCAAGAAGGTGATGAACAATGAAATTCACAGTACGATAAGTGGTGTTGGTACACCAATGATATACACCATGGTCAACAGTGATTTTTGTGATGATTTTATGCTAGACTTCTGTTGTCTTCATTTCTTATTAGATCATTGCACAACATCAGAATCGTTTAATTCCAAATAAGCAAGTGTAAGTAGCCAGCTCCTCAAGTAACTTTCCCGAATACAAGTAACTTTCCCGAATCCCGAATAATATTTTGCTGTGAATGTTATTATATACCCAATTATAAATATAAATATTTTGTTTACTTTTAAGTTATAAGCTTCTAAGTAACGACAATGGCTTCATGAACTACCACCCATCTTACTTTACACAAAGAACGTTGTTAGCGCGTTTCCAGATGAAYCTAACTCACCCCCGTAAGGTCGAGTTTATCAAAAAGCCAGTTCTGGGTGCAATGGGACTTCTCGCTTTACTAGGCGACCAGCAGGTTTTAACTGAGAAGTACAGTCAGGCCAATGAACGCCAGGAGGTATAGGTGAAATTGATTTACAAGACTAGAAAGACTCTTTGGCATGGACGCGCAGCAGATAAGGCGCCAAGTGATGGACAGAGAGAACTTTTTAAAAGTGATTTCATCATAAACGCACCCCTAGGGGTCAATTCTCTATAAAGGGGAATATGATGATGATGGTGATGATGATGGTGATGGGTGGAAATTTCTACAGTCCCCCAGGCTAGTGGGAGGGGACAAAACTAATTATAACTTTCAAGAGAGTAAAATTATTKTATTTATTTTAAGTGATTTGTTCATCAACAGGMAACAGCATACGACGATGTTGGTATCATTGCTTCAGTTGTCCATAACACRGCTACAGCTTCACACGACTGGGAGCTTTCTGCCTTGATCTACAACAGTAACGACACAACCAACAAAACTGGGTTAGCTGTGGTCGATGTCAGTGTCTCCGGGATCCCTGTGGTTGATGATATATTGTACGTCATCTATAAGATTGACAATTACCATGGCAACCCTTATGCGTTATGGAGGAACATGAAGTCTCCAGTTTTTCCGACAGAAGATCAGTTTCGAGAGCTTCGTTTGCATCAGGTATGTCTTCGTATTAAACAAGAGAAAATGAGGTAAGAGAAGGAATCCCTGGTACCCATCATATCAGCCCTTCGTTCTATTTTTAGAAAAAGAGCTATTTTTAGTTTGTTACCAAGCCCGCGCGACCACTACTCGTTTATCGGAATTTGATATCGGCTATTTTTCATCGCCAAAAACTGAATGTCAAATACTGTNAAAAGGACAACTAAAAAATAAAAATGAAGGRAAAACAGAAGAAAAATTTGTATCTTTGTAATTTGCCTATGTTRATTTTTCCCAGGAGCCTGTGCGAACAGTTGGACCTCTTCCTCCTGCAATRGTRTCTGGGATTTCCATTCTTAAGTTACAACTACCGCTCCCTGGTGTCGCTTTGTTGCATTTTTGTARAAAAMCACTTACCMCACCATCCCAGGTGAACAAAGAGCCGYTAACATACATCTTGTTCTATAGAACTAGCTATAATGTCAAAGGATKGCTTTTACTAAAAAGTGTTTCTATTCATTTTAAGCCAGTCGATGCTTCAGCGCTCAGAATCTCCAGTAATGAGGTCCTGGTTCACTGGAAACACGACAATGCAAAGTAACTTTATCTGATCTATAAAATACTTAAATAATAAATCATCATTAATATTATCCTAATAATATATCTGTTATTTACAAGGTGTATAAAAACCTACCAAGTGTTAYACTCTAATGCTGAAGAAGGTCCATATAATGTTGTCAATGAAGTTGACCTGATTTTCTGGGCTTTTCTCCATGTGATTTCCTCAGAATCCAGAGGTGAGAAGTATGTTTCTTCTGCACTTAAGCCAGCATAAATGAATGACAACCGCTTTCCGCCTATTACTAGTAGCGCACATCCTGATTTAACGTCTAACGATTTGCAAAAAAAAATCTTAGTGTTTAGTGCTTAGTGCTTGAGTGCTTAGTTAAGCTTTTATACCAGACCTTTAAATTAATTGTCAATTTCCACCCGGATTTCAAGCGAAGAGTTGTTGTTATTATATAGAATCATATAAAAAATATTTTGATTTTCAGAGAAATTACGAGATCATAGATGTAGCACGTGGTATAAAGTCMGAGCGGTTGACTACTGGGGCCGAATTGGCGAGGAATCACGTCGAATTCCTGCACCTCAAAGCCCTGAAAACCAACAAACTATATGAGGCGAAAACGAGCTTGTGCTCCACTCGACTCAGATTGTGCGCGATATAACTTCAACACAGCTAGCCGAGAAGTAATTAAATTCAGYTTCTATAAACAAATATACATTCCCATATTCCTTAGCAGTSACCTTTGTGCGTGTGATYCTATATGTCGAATTTAAACGCAATATAATTCTACGCTAAGTKCAACTCCGACATATGACCATCCGCCTCACACGACCACCGTAAAATAATGGTCGGATTTTGCCGTTAATACGGCCACTTTAGACTTCAGTGTCCGGATTAACGGGGTTTCGCTGTAGTGAGTATCCAAATAGTCTTAATGGAGAGCTGGATGTGTTTTTAAACTTTAGGAGTKTATATTAATACGRCCACTTTAWKACGTCTTTTCGGTGACCGGATTAACGAGGTTTCACTGTAGTTAGTATCCAAATAGTGTTMAYAGAGAGCTGGATGTGTTTTTAAACATGAGGAGTGTAATCTTTGCGTAGATATCAAAGATAGACTTATCTGATTTCGGAAGATTTACATCAGATGATCATAGACAACTTCCTTTCTTGAAACACTTTAAATCCATAGAAACCAAAGGGGTATCAAGCCATGCGTGGTCACGGCCAGAAATAGCCACTACAGTGAACAGGATATAGAGCTCACAGAACATCAGGCTTTCGGTACACTTTTTACTAAGAAATTAGTTGACATCAAAGCAAATATATTGTATATATGATGGTTATTTTTTTAAAAAAACATTAAAATAATCATTTTTTTTTTTTGTAAAATTATATTTTGCCTAATTTGTCGCTCCAGCACGCAAATCTGGAGAGGTCATGACGTCATGCTACCTAGTACTGACGTTAGAATAGATTTCCCGTTCCCTTCCCACTTTTTTTCTTTTTTTCTGTGCTTAAAATTATTTTCTGCAGGTAAATAAAACTGTATGTTGTCTTCCAACTATTTGTAATTTAATACTAAGGTCCTAAGAATAGGAAATATACGTCTTATGAAGATTGTCGTTGAAGCTAGATCTCTGTCATGATAAATAGTATGTATTTATCAACGATATTCCGCTCGAAGAGTTTTGTTTCACTCCACTGAATGAATAATTGCTTGGTATATCTGACTTGACTCCACTATTAATCTTTCATTGTGGCTTGGTTATACGCAAAAGAGCAATGTTATTGCCTTCACCGCAAAAAATGAAAAATTTATAATGAAAATGAAAATAGAAATATTTCAGTCTGCTTTCCAATTTATTTTTATTTCAAGGGAAATCATTAATTCAAACAATCCAATACCTAATGACAACAGCTTCATTGTTCTCARTAAGCATGCGAATAAATAGTGTCAGATCGACAAAGAAGACTATTTTTAAACCTGCTAAACTTTTGCTTTTGAGGTGAAACAAGGGATTATTGTCACAAAAGAAAGAACCCATGCGATATCTTTCACTTTCTTGGAGATTATCTATGCAAAACATTCCTGCAGAAAACCTGAAAGTCATGTGAAAATTACTAAATTGAAAAGGAAAATGCGCTTTCTATTCCTTCCACAAAAGCTTTTCTTGTTTTCCATGCTTTTCAAAAACACTCACTTAACCTTTTCTTGTTATCATATATTCGAAAGCTTTTAAAACTCTTCTGACAAAGAATGATCACAAAGCTCAGCTTAGCAATTGATATGTAAAGTAGTTTTGTGACCGTTGGATGACTGCGGACAATAYCTTGGGAATTATTTATATCAAATTAGCCAATCAMCAGCCAGTTGTGTTGCTATACAAGTATTTGCATTTTAGCTTTCTCAATCGCTTTGGAAAGTAACGCTCGACTTTGACAGGAAACTACAGCTCGAAACTAAAACACCGTATGGGTATGATAACAGTGCTTGCCGAAAAGCATTTTCATTCGAAGAGAGAGAAAGGCCTATAACTCTTCGTGTCTTCGTTTATAGAAACAAAAACAAGCCACCGACTGAAGTGTTTTTTAAACACACAAAGATACGACACTCGTACTGTTCAAGATAAAAACGACAGAAGGATATAATCATTTCCATCGACCAAACTAAAGATAGAAAGGGAGAAAAATAGTTTTGTCATCCAAGCCGTAATTATGGGCAATGTCGTCGTTCTTTCCTTTCGACGCTTTCGTCCGATGTTAAAGTTAAAACGGCCGTTCCATGTCGTTATGGTTGGTCTTGATAAAAGTGGAAAGACGGCTATACTCTACCGTAGTAAGCTCCGTGAATTTGTAAAGACAGTTTCTACGACAGCGTTCAATGTGGAAACTATTAGACCGTTCAAGGGAGTGCGTTATAAAGTATGGGATATTGCTGGACGGGAACAAAACCGGCCGCTGTGGAAAGCGTATGTTCGACACACGGATGCTATTATATTTGTCGTGGACAGTACGAACGAATCGAGATTAGACGAAGCGAAGGAGGARCTATTTAATATCTTAAACTGTGCTCAACTAAACGGTGCTCCAGTGCTTGTATTCGCTAATAAACAAGACTTGCCAAACGCTTTGTCGCCTCGAGAAATAGCGACCAGACTGTGTCTTCACGATTTAAACTCGCGACATCTTTGGTACGTCCAGCCGTCGTCTGCTTTGCTCGGAGAAGGGATACCAGATGGACTTAGGGGCTTATATGAAATGATTGTACAGTGGAAATTAGACTTAAAACGAGCAAAAGCAAGCAGAAAGAGGAAATCTTTGGCAGCCTCACGGACCAACTCAATTAATAATATTTTGTAGAGTTCTCTAGTCGGGAAATCGCGTCGAATTATATATTWTTATTTTCATCATCAAAATCAGTTTGAAATTTCTTGAGTTCAATGTAAATATTATTTGGATAGTTATTGATGCACATCGGAGGAATTGCTGTTCGTTTTATCTTACTARCTTAACTTATTATTACACACGAAGTTCTTCGATCAAATCATATTTAATTAAGAATTGTATTCAATGCGCTGTATTATATTCTGAGTCCCACTAAAATTGACAAAAATTTACTATGTTTTGTTTGAAATAGAATAAAGTTATGGAATRATAACTATACTAGAATACGATCATCTTTGAAATATCTCTGGAGTATCTTTTCATACGCGAAAATTCCTTTGATCAAAACTGTTGTTGCACCTGCTTCCAGTTCAGCGGCTATTGAAGCGGCTATTGAAGATCACAGCAAAATAACATACTTTTTGAATTAATGTTTGAGATAACTGCTTTAATACCGATGAAGGATGAACTCTAGTTCTTTTTTGATAAAGATAAAGTGGTTGTTTAGTGGTTTTCGCGATATGTGAACAGCCATGTCGTGAAATKTTCATGTTTTCACATCCCCTATTGTCAATGATATTGCAAGAACCTGTTCGATTCGACAATGTTCTCTCACGCAGATCTGACGGGCCTGTAGCTAGTTTATCATCGAGTTGGAACATTTTCACCTCGGGGAAGTATCAGATAGCTTTGACTGTACATCGCTTTGCTTTGGAACATTACTCGATCTGCAACTTGAATAAATAATTTTTTCAATGACAAATTGCAAGACAAAGGACATTTTAAAGTACAGTTTTTTCATGTTTTTAAAGAGCCGAAATAATCACTTGGGCGTTGGTCAAGCGGATGCGTTGAAGTTCAGTATGTTAACATTTGACGACCAATCGTTTAATGGTTTCGAAGCGCATCAKTTATAACCACAAACGATAAATCAAATATGCTTTAAAATAAGCTTTCAGAAGAWCGTAATTGACGARGTTTTGTAAGTAAGCAATACAGTACTGGTCCATTTCTACATTCAGATTGGCTAAAATGAATGTTGATGGCATCTGTTTTTTTTAAACATTTGATTGAATATTCATCATATCTCCCCGTGTTGACACGTGTAGTCTATTTTTAAGTCAATTCTAATTTGATAGAACATTACTTTTCGAAATTACAGAAATATTCATTGAACCGTCAGCATTCCGGGACATTGGACATTAATCGTTTGGTCACACATTCAAATAATCCGCGTTTAAGTAATAACTTTACGTAAAAGCTAACGTAAAACTTACGTACTTCACAAACCCTTGTATTCCAGACACTATATATTACGAACAGGTCTACATAACGGACTCTGTATAATCAGCTGACGACAGTTCATGAAAATCTCTTAGCATTACGTAAGGTAAGATATACGACCTTCGTCGCGATGCACGCCGTCAACGCGTTTTACGGTGCTGTAGGTTCCTGCWYAGGGTCTCCTTTCTCAAATGTTTGAAACTTTGCGCGAAAACCCCTATAATACGAACACCCCTATAACACGAACACCCCTATAATACGAACACCCCTACAATATGAACACCCCTATAATACGAATATCCCTATAATATGAACACCCCTATCTTACGAATACCCCTATAATACGAACACCCCTATAATATGAACACCCCTATAATACGAACACCCCTATAATACGAATATCCCTATAATACGAACACCCCTATAA